TGGCAGCTGATGGCAGAGGAGGAAGACTTCTGGAGGAGAGACACTGAGGGAAGAACTGGAGAGTAAAGAGAAACACAGGTCACAGTTTCTGTATTAACAGCATGCTAACACATATTAATGTACATATAGTACCATGTGAAGGAGTCAAATAAAGACTCTGTAATATAAAAATAAAGACATAAGAAATATATTTGAAGTGAGGGGGAAACACATTGTAAAAAGGCTGAAGTGATGGTTTTGAAATTTAACGAATAAATTACATTTTGATTATTGTTTAAAAAAACACATGAGTTAGCAGACAGAGAGGAAGAGAGAAAATACACTAAACTTAACTGTGCTGGTGATAAAAAAGTTGTATTACTTAATAAAAATGAGGTAAATTATCACTCTAAGTCTGGTCATGTGATTGTACCTGTTCTCATTAAAGAGCTCCTCCCATAGTTCAGATACTTCTTCAGCCACTCAGGACAAATCTGAGTGTAATAGTTCTTCACACTGGTTATAAAAGCTTTGTTACTGTCCCACTTGTGTTTGGTCACCACAGCCTGTTGTTTAGGAGCGACCCACGTCTCTGTCTGCAGGTCAAATATTATGAAGTCTTCTCCATCATAACCAAACTGCTCATATCCGTCCACCTCATTCGTCTCATCGTCCCATTCGCAGCCGTACATCCGCTGGACAATGTGAACACCTGAAAGAAGAACAGAGACGAAGACGACAGTGAACCAGAGTGAGATCCAGCATCGTCTCATATAAACACAGAGACACAAGTCAACAGAGACTAAAACACCTGACCTGATTCAACACAGCTTCCACAGAAGGAGGGTTTCAGGACAGAGAAGCCTGTTCAGCAGTGAGTTGCTACAACTGGTTTCAATAAGCATAATAATAAATATCCTTAAAGACAAGCTATGTAAGATGTGAGCTCAGTACAAATACTGTTTTCAAAATGTTAAATGAAAGAGAGAAAAACGTCATTTGACTTCACAGTTCTTCATTTCTTCTTCCTCTTTCGGTCACTCTCTTTAAGGGTCGCCACAGCAGATCCTCCTTCTCTACATCCATGAACTTCCTCCAAGGTCTTTCTCTTCTCAGCTCCACATTCAACATCCAAACCATCTCAGCCTTGCCACTTGGTCACTCCCAATAAAATCATCATCAGCTCTGTTACCTCCACCTCGGTGCCTTCATCTCCACACCATGCATCGCAGCAGGTCTCAATACCCTCTTGTAAACCTTCCCTTTCACTCTTGCTTGTACCACAGATCACACCCTGACACCCTGCACTTCTGTTGTGCTCTGCCTGCTACTTTGGATGGTTGACCCAGGCATTTAAATTAATAATCATCACTATTTCTGCTTCTTGCATCCTCTCTGTAACACTGTTCTCGCTGTCATTCACACACATGTACTCTGTGTTGCTTCTACTGATTTTCATT